GCGGCGTGGTGAGGAGAGAGCGGCTGGGCCCAGCTGCGTGGGGGGCTGGGCGCGGCGCCTCGCCGCTGCCGGGGAGCTGCCCGCTGCTGTGAGCGGCCCCGGGACGGGAGGATGGGACCGCCGCCGGTCCCTGGCGCGTCTGTAGCGCCGCGTGAGTGCGCGAGCCTTGCCGTGAACGGATGGGGCGGCCTTCCGCCATGTTAGGTGGCCCTCCCCTGGTTAGGCCGTTTCTCCATCTTTACATCTGGGCACGCAGCGTCTGCACGAGTGTCTCCTACCGCCCCTCATTCACGTTTTAAAATAAATATTAATCGTTTGCCCTTTCACTCAGGCCTGCAGCTTTCTGAGCTGCTGCCTTACAGCTTCACTGGCAAGAGGTGCCTGCAAAAAGCTGTCACTGAAAACGGGGTTGTGTAAATGATGGGGCTATAAACTGCGGATGCTGGAGGGTTTGGTGCTGGAGAGCAACAGCAGAAGTGTAAAAGCAGCTTTTGGGCACCACTGGAGAGCCTTCTTGTTCCACCTAGTTTCTCTGCAGTTAGGTTGCTTCTCATGAATAAAAATGATAAGACTTCTTCCCCCATCACACACACGTTGAAATTAAAATAGTCATCTTGTTAGCTTTTCTTGAGGGAAGTTTCTAATCTTGGGAGGGGAATAAAGGGTCTTTTTTATTGTGTTCATCTCTTTGTTTGTTTACACTGATGGCTAATAAAACATGCCACCTGAATGGCAGTGTTTTCCCAACTCATAAATGCAGTGGCTGTTAGTAACATCGTGACATGCCTGTTACCCTTGGAACTGCAAATGTCATGTCAAGTCCAGTGTGAAATTAGCTTACTGGCTAATGGATTCAGCAGAGTATATTCTCCTGTGATTGATGGTTCTTTGTTGCTGGAAAACAACTGGAACAAGTTGCGTTGCCATTACCTTTTTAAAAAAAGTTAATATCCATTAAATTTTGATAACTGAATATGAAGGAGCCTTTGTGGCTTCTTGCCTGTGGTACTTTATTTAACCATTTTTTCCCCACCTGTTTATGTGGGACTATATTTCAGATGTTGGCTTCAGTTCAGTCTTCCACGTAAAGTGTACTCTGCAGTAGAATGGTGGGATATTTGCCTTAATTAACAGATGCTGCTAATGAACTAAAACTCATGAACAAAGGGAACAGAACACATCTTTCCTTGCTCTCGGAAGGGAGCAGATGTTGAGCTTAGTTAGCCAGCAGTGCATGATAGAGTAAGACTCCCATAACCCAGATTGCAGCTTCATTACTTTTTCTTATTTTTGTGTAATCCTCTCTTTTAAGGTGAAATTTCTGTTCCTGGCTTTTTGCCAGTTTATTGACCCCTTGGAGATTTGAAAAGCCAGTTTTTAGATTTTCTGCCTTGGAACACTGTGGAGAACGAGCCCATGAATGTGCTGCTCTGACATTTGCAGGTTTATAGTCCGGGCAGTAGTAACCAACTTTGAAGACAGAAGGAGGTTTTGGACAGGTCATATGCAGATCTTGTATTTAGTACTTTTTTTTTTTTTCCAGCAGATCTTCTTGTTTACAAATATTTTAATTAATCCTTTAGCAGCTGCCTCCGCAGGTACTGATAAGAAGTATTATCACAATTTGGCAGACAAGTGGAGGGGCACCCGGAGGTGATGTGGTCTGTGTTAGCGTTGTGAAGACCCTTTGTGCTAAGTGCCGGACCACATGTGCTCACACCTTCATGTTGAAGAATGGCTCATGCTTTTAGATCTTGCATCTTCTGATCCAGATCCCATTGCTTGGACAAACTAATCCAAGTAATGATGCTGTTACTGACTTACATACTCTGTGTCTACCACAGCGGGTATATTTTTAATTCATCCATGTGTGTTTACATTTTAGATAAATGTGGTCATGTATTTTTTATCCAGCTATTCCTGTAGTAATCTTTAGGAACGTAATCTTTAAAATGTAATCTGAAATGATTATTTAATTGGGTGCTTGTAGCAGAATTTTTCCTGTTGAAATATTTGACCGGCTAACCAATTTCCTTGAGCGATACGGCTTTCCACATGATAGATTCCCTTATTTTTCTCAAGAAGATACTACAGCTTTAATTGGAAAGCTTTGACACATTTTGGATTTGCTCAGAAAACAGAAGTCAGTTTTTCTTTCCTTAAAGATCTTGTACAAATGGATGCAAATAGAAATATAAATGGGAAATGAGACAGGAGCACTATGTTGGCTTTTACTCCAGGATCTGGTTTGTTTTGTTTGGGCATTTTCTAAAGACTAAAAAGGTGTGGAGTGTTTGTATATAAAACACTCATTACAGATGTATATTGCCTATATATTTTAAATAAGTTCAGTAATGGAGAATTTTTTGGGGTGGGAAGTGTTTTATGATTCCTTCTGGGGCTTTATCACCAGCCAAGCCCATCTTAACTGGGACCCAAACAATGTCCAAGTCTCTGCTAGTGTTCAAGAGACAGATGTGCCCCACTGGCACATGATCTGTCAGCCTGCAGGCTTATCTAAACACAAAAGTGATGCTGCATTAAATGAGAAGGGTAAAATTAGTTGATATAAAATTCCTCTGCTGCGTTGCACATACAGGTGTGCCACAAAGCTACTGGAGTACGTATAGACTGATACACTGATTTGCCTCAGGCTGGGAGTTACATGGGTATAAATGTATACTTCTACTCAAGATGGTTTCTGTAGACTGTGAGGGAGGTCCAAGCTCCTAGGAATGCAAGAATGTAACTGTTACTACTGTAAAATTTGAGGGGAGTTCTGGGTTTTTTGGTATGTTTGGTGAAATGGGTTAACATTGTTGATACTTAAATTGTGACTCAGTTCGGGCACCTGGCTTGAGACAAATGGAAAGAAAAGGCATGTTTCAAATAGGTGTGGACTGTAGTTTTGCACTCTCAGCAGTTTGTCACAGCCCATGGCAGATGTCTTCCTCTGCTGCCAGCTGTGAGAGAGGTTACTGTTCCTGTCTGTCTGTTCCCATCCTCTGCCAAAGATTATCACCGAGGAAGCCATTTACAGGAATGTCCCTGTATTAGGCAAAATCAGCAGTCTTACCCTAAACTAAATTATTGGTCTCAACAACCTTGCCAGCCTGTTCCTGCAGGGAGTTAACAGGTCCTTACACGTACTGCCTTGCTGGCACTTTGGTGGCTCATCGATGAGAACTTAAGAGCTGGTAACATCTTCCTTTAGCACTGCTGGATACAGAAGACTTCTTCTCGTAGCCTCAGGTTTTTTTCACTTCCAAAGGCAGGTTTTACAAGGCTGCAAATGCAAACAAGTTAATGTAATGAAATCTGAGAAAAGAAGATGATTGAAAGTATAGGTGCTGCAAAAAACAAGCAGTCTGTATGACCTAACTCTAGCTCTGAGCTCCAGTACTGTTTGTATGGGTGATGTTGGTTTCTGATATGCAGCAATAAGTTCAGCCTCATAATGTTCTCTTCAGCCTTTGCTGAAACATTAGGAACATCTTGGCAGGGTTATGGAGCAGTGACAACTCGGATGCATCGAAACTAACCAGGAAAGGTCTGTTCCTGTGTATGAAGTACAGACATGGCTGACTGTTGACTTCCAGTGGAAGGCTGTGATCAGCAGTTGTTTACTTTTCCATTGCCTCTTTGCCCAAACTTAGGCCAAACCCATAGAAAAATCACAAAAAGCATGTACTTTTTACATCAGCTGTTAATATATTTCTGTGTAATGGATTATTGTCATCATGCAGTTACTGCATGTTCAGCACATACAAATTATGCAAAAAACTGAATCTTTGTATTTATGTGTCTTTTTGCTTGTTTGTTTTTAGTTCATGCAAAGGAGTTTGGATTCACAAACTAAAAAACAACTAGAAGAGGAAGAAAAGAAGATAATTAGTGAAGAACACTGGTATCTTGATTTACCAGATCTAAAGGAGAAAGAGTAAGCTTGTACCGTTTTGTACTTCTTATCATTGGGTTGTTGTGGAGTGGGAGTAGAACACACATTTTTTTGCTGTAGACGAGGTGTTACTAATAACCAGTTAACAGAAGCAAAAACAGTGACAGACTGGTACTGCAGCTTTTTTATTTTTTATTTTTGGGGACATTCCCAAGGTTGCTTAGTGCAGTTTGACCTACTTTCGTTTCTTCTATGTATTGTTTTCTTTCACTCACACATTCTTCTAGATACATGCAATTAGTTTCTTTCAGGCAGGGACCAATTCACTGATTGCTGCTTTTTCCCTTCATTTGAAAAAAGGTTTGAAACCTTGTGTTAGTAAATTCAGCTCCAGTCCAGGACAGTTCTGTCTTGTTGAGTCTAACTCACTTAAAATCCTAGTTTTGGAATGGAAGAGATAATGGCAAAAATAAAGGAAGGCTTAGCTAACATGGAAGAAAATTTTTAGAAAGGTGCTTTAAATAGCAAGAGAACTGCTTTAAAAATTGCTTGATTTTTGTCCTTTCAAAAGAGGACAAAAGTTCCATTGAGGGAGAACGTACATTATTTTTTAAAAGCTGAGATCCAGGGAATTAGTTGCAGTTGAATAAGGTCATTGATAAACTATTCTCCATTACAGTCAGTGGGTATGACAAAAAGGTATTTGAGCTTCAGTTGCAGCAAGGAAGGTTCACACTGGACGTTGGGAGAACTTTTCTAACAGTGAGGCTATTGAAGCAGTGGAATGGATTGCCTTGGGAGACACTGGATTCTTCATCTTTGAAAGTCTTTTGACTTAGATGAACCTCTGCTGTTCATGGTACATGAACAGATCCTACCTCGGGGTAGGAGAATGAGCTTGATCTCTTCAGCCTAACTTCTAGGATCATAGGCATTTGTGTTACATAGGAGATGAAGAGAATGAGGGAAGAGGTGCATATATGTGCAAGGAAAAGAAGGATAGAACAATTCACAGAAGTACTTTTTGTATAACACGTGTATTATGAGCGCCTAAGGGTCATGTTTCTTTTCTCCATTCTCATTAAAAGAGGAAAAAAGTGGGGAGAAAGGGGAAACTTTCCTCTGCTGAACAGAGAATTGCACAGTGTTTTATGTCCTGACAGGCTTGGGTCTAACATCACAATGAAAAATTAATTAGAAGCTTTTCCTGCTATAGTAATGGCACCTGGAGAGTGATATTTGTGGTATTTTTATTCTGGCAAAAGCACTAATGTAGGCAGAATCATACCAGCAAAGAGTGTTTTTTGTCAGGAGAGTAAATTTTGCTTGTGGACCTAGCACAGCTTTACTGGCAAAATGTGTTCCTTTGCATTCCAAGCTCCTTGTATTTAAAGATTTATCAGAACAATTAAGCTTCAGAAAGTAGTCGATGGCTTAGAATACACTGTGGTTTTGTTTATTTGTGCAGGGGGAGGACAGTAAATGCTTTTTGCATTTGTTTAATTTGATTATTTTAAAGCGCACTGTTTGACAAATGCTGTTTGGGGTTTCATGCAGGAGCTTTATCATAGAAGAGAGGAGCTTTATGCCATGTGAGGATCTACTTTATGGCAGAATGTCCTTCAAAGGATTCAATCCAGAAATTGAGGTACCATTTAAATATTCTGGTTTGAGGTGGTCTTGCATTAGAATTGAACCCCTTGTGGCTGAGGATTTGAGCGATCACACGGCATGCAGCACCTTCCATAAATCCTTCTGTGTACAGGAAATCCCTGATTCAAACCAGAGTGGTGATCAGTGCAGTATCTGGTAAATAGGAGCTTTTTCTCTCTTTGTTTTGATGGTCAGACTCCTGCAGATTTTCCCTCCCTGAAGTGAGGAAACTGCCCCACATGCTGCTCCCCAAAACAGTCTCTTTTTCCTCTTGCCATTTAATTTAGAGTCCAATCCTACAAACATTCAGCCCTATTACACAACACTTGTGCAAGGGATTAACGTTCCAAAGTCAAAATCCTGCACAAGGGAGTCTTTAATTTCTTTCCGGCTTGATTCATGCTGATAGAACTACAATGAGATAGCAATCAAAACGTTACCGCTGAACTGAAGCAAGAGGTTGAAGGTGTAAAGACTAAGAGGTGTCCCCAAGGCTATGCAAGGTGATTTACTACGGCGTTCTTTCAATTATTTTGAACTTGCTCTCACTGTGACTTGGCATATTATTGCTTCATGTGTTTTACTAGTAGTTTATTCTAAATGCTTGCAGATATTTTTGCTGCTTAACAAAACCATTTCAAGGACAATGTGCTAACATCACAATGAAAAATTAATTATGATCTAATTCTCTGGTCTCCTGAAGATGTCTGGTGTGCCCTTGAGGATGTTTGAATGGTGCAACTCGCTGAAAACCCTGACTCTGTGTTGCCTCATTTCCCAGTGGCAAACTCTTGAGCTCAGCTTAGCAACAGGGAGTCATCTTGCCTTTTTTCTTCTTCATGAGTTTTGTAACAGAATGCTCTAGCCTGACCTAACAGCAAATAATTACTAGACTTGATTCTTACCTTTTGTACTTTTCTCCTACCAGTGAATTTCAGCATAGTTGCTATTGAGTCAGGGCTATGTGTTTAAGCTATTTCTTACCTCATTTTCAGAAGTTAATGATCCAAATGAACTCTAGGTGCAAGGAAGAAAAAGTTGAAGTGGATGATAAAATGGAGGCTGATGTGTCAGATGAAGAAATGGCCAGAAGGTAAGTTGTATTTTATGACATAATAAATAATAGCTACAAGTGCATTACTGCATTATGTGTGGGAAAATAAACCCAAAAAGCAAACAAAATAAAACCCACAACAGAATGTGGTACTTTACAGAACTGATTCTCCAGGAATTCAAGTGTGCATTCAGTGAAATCTCTCTCACTTTTAGGGGTCAAATATCTTGTAGGGGCTTTCTGCCCTTTGATATTCAGGTATTCCATGCTAATTCCTTCCTTGTTCCAGATTGCCAACAGACCCAAACTATTGGAATGAATAATAATAATAATGTAATAAGTGATCGTGTAGTACTTGTGCTTCTTAAGTGTCTGATGACTGGCTTTTTTTAGACCACTTAAATTGTTGATTAGATTTATGGTTTTCCGTATCATTTTAGTAGAAGCTCTAATTTTTTTTTTGTCTTTACAGATATGAAACATTAGTGGGAACAATAGGGAAGAGATTCTTGAGAAAAAGAGACCAGTGTGTACTCCAGGATGAAGATGAAGATGGGAATAGTAACACAATACCTAGCAAAAAGGCTAAGAAAAAGTTCTTAAAACCTCAGGATTAATGTCAACTGCAGCACTGGAGCTGTTAGAAATGTTATCTACCAAATACAGTACCACAAACTGGAGACTGTTGAGTTTTGGTATTTAATGTAAAGGATAGATTTGTGAATCTAAATCCGTTCTTGTTGAAATTTCTACCATCCACATGATGAACATTTTCTGAAGTGGATATGTGTATAACGGATGTCATACATCCTTTCCTCTCAGCAGCTTTTAATGTGTGGGACACTAATCCCATCGGTCTTCTTAAATGTTGTGCAAGACTAGGTCAAGTGTCACGTGCAGTTCAGAGCAACATTATTCACCAGTTATGATAAGGTCTGAAAGAAGTATTTGGAGTAAAGATGAGCCTTGTCCAACCCAGTGAGGCAGTTCAGCTTGCACTGCTTTTTTTTTTGTTTTGCTGAGAAAATGAAAACCTGTGCTGTCTTCCAATGGAAGCAGAAACATGGTGGGGTTGTGTTTTTACTGTGCTAAAAATAAGATGTGAAAGGAACAGATAAAAAATCCATTTTGTTGAATTTTACTTTCTGTAAAGCCTATTTAAAAATGAAGGGTTTGCAGTAAAATCTTATAGAGCAAGCCAAATATTGGGCAACGTTTACAGTTTGACACTTGAGCAGATTGTGAGTATTAATTTGTCTTCCAAAAGAAGTTTGCTAATCTTCTCTTTTTCAGTAAAAAAAATTCCATCTTATAATTATCTGCGTCTTGTCATAAAAGCGTAAGAACAGCTTCAGAAACATATTTGAAAGCTGAATAAAAACTGATGGTTTGTGATTAATGATTGTGGTTTAGCTTATTTAATGTAAAAAATGATGCTTAATACAATCTGATATAGGAAGTGAGCCTGTTTTGTGCTGACCACATGTCGTGGTTTAGGCCCAGCACTGAACACCACGATGCCCTAAAAAGGGCTAGTCAAAATAAGGACTGGGAGGGCTTCTCACCACTTAAGCAGGTCACAGGCAAAAGACAGACTCATCATAAGGAAATAAAAAACAAAACCATTTTAGTTTGTTACCAACGTCAGAGTAGAACAATGGGTGACACAACCAGATCTTAAAGTCAAAACACCTTCCCCCCACACCTCCCTTCTTCCCAGGCTCAGCTTTGTTCCTGGTTTCTTCACCTTCCCCCTGCCCCTTTTGCCTTGAGGCACACCATGTGCTCCTCAGGGGTAGGAAAACTCAGCCCAGTGTCTCTCTTTGCTTCCATGTGCCCACCCCCCTTTCCACAGGGGAAAAAGTCCTCCAAACTCCAATCTGGGTCTGCCCACAGCTGCAGTTTCCCTCACACACAAAACTGCTTCAGCCCAAGTCCACAAAGCTCGTCTGGGTCTGCCCACAGTCACAGTTCCCTCGCACACGAACTGCTCCAGCACACACTGCCCGGAGTCACGGCTTCTTCAGGGGCAGCCACTGCTCACATGGAGGGCCAGCCACTGCTCATGTGGCCGTGCTCCACCGGTGAACTCTACAGGCTGCAGGCAGTCGACCTGGCTCTCGCCATGGGTGGCAAAAGGGGAACCTGGGCTGTGCATCCTCCTCCTCCTCCCTCTCCTTTCTTTCCTTCAACTGACCTTGGTGTTCTTCAAAGTTGTTCTCCTCAGGCCCCACTCCTTTCTCCACTGCAGGTCTCTTCTGATGGTTCTGGAGTTCCCGTCTCTCTCTTTTTTTTGAGATGAAGCTGCAGCGGGGCTAAGCTTAGGTTGTGGTCGGGTCCAGCGAAGCCCAGCTGAGCAAGGCCGGGGCCGTGCCACTCGCACCTGGGGCCATGCTGGACAGGACCTGGACCAGAGAGCGAGACATGGCCTGCACCCCCTTTAAATACCTGAATTCGCAGGGGCACTGATTGGCTTGGCCCTGGTCAGAGGTGGGTCTGACAAAGGCAAAGGGGGAGCTTTTCAGGTGGCTTCTTAAAGGGCCATCTCCATAGCCCCATTACCAAAGACACAACCAAAAACCCCTCATAGAAAAACCAATACACCACAGATGTCCCCAAATATGAGTTGACTGCACTGACTACTTGTTTATCGTGTTGTGAAGCCTTCTGAAGTGACGTTGGGATGGAAACATCGTCGTGTCCTTTGGTCAGTCAGTGCTCTGGGCCCAGTGAAAAATGTCAGTGTGGGCTTATCTGAAATCACAGCAGTTTTCTGTGTCCTGGCTTTCAACAAGAAATATTTATTTTTATTACTTCATTTCCCCAGCTAGATGTCTGAGTTACTCATCCTTAATGCTCTCTGGAGAAAGAGGAGTTTGTTAAATTGAAGTAAGTGTTCATGAACACAAGAGGCTTTCCCCCCCCCACCACCTTTTTTAACAATTTAGTGAAGCAAGATACGAAACTCAATTGCATCAAGAGAGTGTGTTTCTGCTGTATTTTGTATGTGATAAATGAACTAAAACCTGTATATCAGAAGGACCTCATTAGATAGTCAAGATGAATCACACATGGAAAGAGAAATATACTTTAATCTAGTAAGGGGACCTTATACAGGTGGAAAGTCTGTGACTCATGGTCTGAGATCATTTTTTCTGAGCTAATTAAATGCTACTGGTTCAATTACTTAAAACTTGATCATGTATTATTGCTAGCTGAGAAGAAGTTAATGATGGCGAGACATTTTTCTTTGCATGGAAGACGGGACCTGAGCTAAGAAATGATTTATTGTTGGTCATCACAAGAAAAACTGAGAATGTATCCCATTATTCTTTCTTGCTTAGTAGTAGCAAAATTATTTCTCTCGTATCTGTACACATTTCTACATTCAATGGAGAATGGATTTCTGCATAGCTGTGCTGGATAGTTGAAGGGAAAGTGTGTTTTAGTGAACCACCAGCAGCCAGGAGATGTCACTGCAGTTGCACCCCTTGAGAGACTATGGATTGGAGAATGTTCCAGAGATGTCATATAAAGGAGCTTTTGGGTATTTTTGATGACAATTAAAGACTCAGATGAATGCCATGTGAAGTCTTCCTTGCCAAGGCCCTGTGCAGAGAGCTCTCTTACATTGCAGGGTCTTGTTGGAAGTAATTTTGTGTAAAAGGTGTTCTGCCATACATTGGTCCTAAATTTCATGTCATTTTTTGAGGGATGACTGGAAATGTGAATGGCATGGTGTGTGGGTAGGAGTGTGAGCAAACTCCAAACAGCTTTGTAGAAAATCCATAGATTTGGAATTTGGGAGCAGGGAAGGGTAGTGGTTCCGTTTCTTAAATGTGCCCAACACTAACTGTGAAAAAATGATAGATTTTGGGTTGTTGTGTTTAAATCAAATGTGTTGAGGGTGGCTACCAAGAAGATGGAGACTCCCTTTTCACTAGGAGTCAATGGAAAAGACAAGGGGCAATAGACACAAGTTGCTTCTGGAGATATTCCAACTGAACTCCAGAAGAGATTTTTTTACCATGAGATCAATCAGACATTGGAATAATCTATCAATGAGACATTGGAGTAATCAATGAGATACTGGAGTAATCTATCAATGAGATGCTGGAACAATCTCCCAGGGAAGTGGTGAATTCCCCTACACTGATCAGTTTTAAGAGTCAGCTTGACAGGGGCTGCCTCATCTCATTTAAATGATGCTTTTACCTCGAGAGGTTGGACTGGATGATCCTTGTGGTCCCTTCCAAAGTGGGAATCTTTGGTTCTCTGAAATCTGGGTGCTCTGCTATTCATGTTTAGGTGATGGCTAGGTGAGCTATTAAAATGCTACAGTAAGACAAACTACTCATTTTTAGCACAATCTTTGATTCATGGGGAGTTTTTTTAACTTTTAAAGTTTATTTAAAAGCACCATTCGTAGTGCATTATTATGAGCAAGACAAAACTAAAAATCAGCTCTAAGTGACTTCTAAAATCTACTTTAATTGCCCAAAGTTGCAAACAGGCATTTTATCATGGTCTTTTCTGAATATATTTTCTGTCTATATTTTCAACCTTATAAATGCATACATAGTATGTATGTATGTGTTTTAAGTCTGGCTCTAGCTTTGTAGCCAGGCTAGAAACATTCTGCTGTGTAAAATCTGTGCTTGACCTCCTCTTGATGGAGGTGTAAGGGTAGTGGTGAAATACTAGTAAAGTGAGACCTGTGTTAATTCAGACTTTCTTGGCTCTGACACAGTCTCTAATGTGGATGCATTTTCATGTGCAACTTCCCGAGCTGTACAACTTTCCCATGTGGTTGTGCTTCTAAATGAAAAGCGTTTTCTTTTTTGAGAACAAGAGCAAGTTGATACAGGTAGTAAGCATTTTTGTTACAGAAAATGGCTACTTGCAACATGTAGCAGGTGAAGTGTTACCAGACACCCGAAGTGTCAGTGCCTGTTGCACTGAGGTGCCTTTGAAGCGAGCAAGCAAGGTGTGGATCGCAGTCGTTGCTCAGTGACAGCTCCATGTGAAGTTCACACAAGTCTGCTGTGAGGTGAGGGTTTGTGCCTCCCTTCGACAAGCTGACTGTTTATTTCTGTAGTTGCTGCTGGTGTTGGAAGCACTGAACAACTCCCTCTTTCTTGCTGATGTTTCTCGTTCAGTCACTTTTATTCTGCTTAGTGTTGGATCTTGGGAAGTCCAGGACCAGAGTCCAAGTGAAGTGTGCCATCCTGTATCCTCTCTTTAGTAATGCATGAGCTGATTAAACTTTGGTTCTCTGGGGAGGGGGGAGGATGTTTAGTGGTGCTGTGGAGTTTGAACTGTGTTCCTTCTGTTATGTGCCTTGTTTTCTAATAAGACACTCCATTATACAATTGTACAGTCGTGGACGGCTGTCATTGCCATTGGGTATTGTGTGTGTGTGTAGTGGGCAGGTGGGGGAGAATTCTGGGACTTAATCCAGCATTCACACTGAAAAAGAAATTGTCTTGCCTGTCTGCTGACTGGAATACCATACTTTTCAATTGTATTTGGAATTAGACAAGTCTTAGGTGGGGGGTTCCGACCATTTGTTCTGCTTCATTTCAACAGTCAACAACTAAAACTGCACAATAGCTTAGGCTTTCATTAAACCTTTCCTAGGGAGTGTTAATAAAGCGTAGTGGTAGTGAAGGACGTTGCACATCCTTCTGTTTTCCTTCTGCATGTCAATGCAAGTTTCTCTGAGAGCTGATGCTTTAAGGACTTGGTTGTTTCTTTTCATTTTAGGCTGAGAGAGCATCGCCTTCTACAATACATTGCCTTGCTAATGGAACCCTTCATGAGACCTCTGGGTTGGTTTGGGTTTGTTTGCTGTTATACTATTCTCATCTCAAACCTTTGATGCATTTTGGGTCTGGCACTCACTCCTCATTGACCTGCTTTCATCAGTTGTTCTTTTGGTTAAGCTGTGAAACTGTTCCTCAGCTGTAGTGTTGACATTTCTTCATGCAATTTGAGGTTGCACAGTGAGGACCTGGTTACAATTGTCACACTGAGAGGAAAAATCCCACTCAGAGTGGTTATCAATGATGGAGTCAGGGAGATGGTTGCAGCTTCAGATGTTGGAGCCCCATAGATTTTTAGTAACTGAACAGTAGAAAGGGCTTATCTGGGTTGAGACCCATCACTGCAGGCACGGTCAAAAATGCTGATAGGAGTCCATAGACCTCTGCCCAAGAAACCCTTGCGCACCATAACCTGAGCAATTACCTGGGAGCAACAGAAGGAATGTCTCGAGAAGTATGGAGGCAAAATAACCTGTCTGATATTGGCTGTCCTCAAGACAAGAGGCAGCAGCACCAGAAAGCAAGTGTAGTTCATTGTGTAGAGAAATAGGGTTTGGTGACCTGGGTGACTGCAGATGGGAATTTCTGTCAGCTAGAATGGAGGTGGTGAGAGTTTTGAAGCTCATAATGTTCCTTGGGGTCTTGGGGAACACCTCAGTTTGATCAATCATTTAGAAAGGGGTAAAAACCTTTATAAAGTGTGAGAGAATAATATAAACACCAATTAGAGAACAGAGTCCTTAGTTCTGCTATTTATAGAAAAACTGCATTCCCACCCCAGTAATATCTTTCCGTGTCCCCTGTTGTCTCCTGCTCGGCCCTCGATTCCTCATCCCCATGCACGTCCATGTGCGCCCAGGCCATCGGCTGCCATCACGGGCGATCAGTGCCACGATCCTCAGCCCAGCAGAGGAGGTGACTACTGAAGCTCCTCTTTGGTGATGGTTTCCTGCTTAGCCTACGAGCTCATTTTTCAGGAACATGTAGGAACTTACCATCTCCAGCATTGCTGTCAGATTTGTTCAGTACTGTCCTGTTTGGTTCAGGAAGTTTGCGCTGGGGAGGGTTGACCAGGAGATCAACAGCATGATGGAGCAGGCCTCAGCTACTTTGCAAATGGTGTGTACAGGAGTCATGCAGCTGGGGGGCCAGAGCCTGTATTTACAGCAATGCTTTATGGTTTTATTGTCCTCTATTTATTTTCAGGTGTACATTTACAGCATTTTTGAGATTTATGGTAAGATGATGCCTTTGAGGAAAAATATACACTATCAACATTTGACTAATACTTAGGATTATCATAGATTGGGCAGAAGAGTATTTTTCAGTGTCACTGCTATTTTTAAATGTATTTCAGAATATTTCCCCTTTCTGAGTGGTTTTCATTTTTTGGGTTTTTTGGGAAAAAAATAGAGAAATGTGATTGTGAAATAATTCTAAAGAAAGATTCCTTTAGGTTTACTTGGCTTATTGTTTTTTTTCACTTTGATATAAATGAATGAACTCACTTGTGACACTGAAGCTCCTGTGCTAGGTGGTACTCGTTCAGAAGAGCTGTATGGACTCCTCCATTTGCTGTACACAAAGAGGGCAAAATTAAGAGTATAGTGGGGTTAGCTTCATTGTTCTACCTTTCAATGCACATAACTTGCAATGCTAGAAATAGAAAATTTGTTGCCTTTTTGGGAAAGAAATCAATCTAAGCTAGTTGGGATGTGTAAGCTCCATTCACCCTTTATAGGATGGTTACTTCTCAGAAGCAAAGCTTGTAGGTATCTCAGAGCCCATCAGCCACAGTAATGCTGCAATATATAGCATCTGTATCACCAGAAAATACATAGGTACCAAAAATTCTTTGGGCAGTTTGCTGCTGCAGTGACAAAAGGAATGCACATGATGATAATTTTAATTTTGAACTATGTTTTGTCTAAGGATGACGGTGAAAGAATTATGCCTCCTAATGCTCTTTTCAAAGATGACATTGTTTTGCTTGTATTAAAGGTAGAGAAATAAGAAGAGCTGTAAGCAGTTAGATCTTGTGAAAAATGAAGTTTTAAATGTGTACTTCATTGTCTAAAAGCTCACAGATGACTTCTCCCTATAATAACCCTAGAAAATGTGTTGGCAACATATCACAATTAATAATCCATACTCCTATTTCTGTGTGATAGACACTTGGAAATTCCCCAGACATATTTATTACACAAGTTTACAACCAGATTCAAATCAGATCCTACAGTTGTGCCAAAAATTGAACTGCAGTCATCTCACAGCAAATAATTTTGTCTACCTGACTGAAAAGTCTTAAATTCCCAGTTTTTCCCAGAGTGAAATTAACTTTAATCTGTTATTAATATATTTTTGCTTTAATCTCCTGCAAAAAATCCCATAATTTTACAGTAGCGATTGCAGAGACACCAGAAGGTTCTGTACATATGTAGCATTATTGTAGGTTTTTCTGATCATCTAGATAGTGTAAAATCCTTTTATATTAATTGGGACAAGTTTTCTATCTAGGGTTATGTTGAATTTCTCTTTGAGGGTTTTTTCAACCTCTTCATCTTCCAGAATTATGAATTCCACCAGATCCATATTTTCTTTGTAGTTGTATGTGGTCTCAGTGAGTGTCCACCCAATCAGTGCTCGAAAGCCATCGGTGGTCTGGAGGGTACAGATGGACTTCTTTGTGAAGAGGGAATCTGGAGAGTTCTGAAGGTATGTGCACTGGAAACGGAAATCTTCTACTGTTCGGGGCTCGAGACTGAACATATAAACTTTCCGACACTCTTTTTTCTCCAGAAGATCAGAATTAGAGAAATTTTGATTGGGGATATATTGTTTCCGTCTCATTTTCTCAAGGTACCAGATGGCATTTTTTTCCGTGAAGCGAAAGACGCCAGGAGCCTGGGGCTGGTCTTTCCCCGACACAAGCTCCATCGGTTGCCACATCTGGTACGATACACCAAAGCCTCCATCAACAATATAGGCTTTGCCATCAATGATGACCTTCACAAGAAGGTGGGTCATGATGCTGGCGTAGGTGTTCTGATGTGGATTGAACACATATGCTCCCAGAAAACTGGTGTCGTAGCCCAGGCGCGTCAGGACCCAGCCCAACAGCTGGTTGTTCTCCATGCACCAGCCCCCACGCTTCCTCTGCACAATTTTGTTATAGACGTGCTCCAGCTCCAAAGTAATTTTCTCCCCGCAATGGATGCTGAGGTTTTCAAAGGGAACAGCACGGATGTGGTGCTGGAATATATCAGTTAATGTTTCCAAATCTTGTTTTTCAAGGGAACCTTTATAACCAGTTCTTGCAAAATACTCTTCTAGGTTCATGTCTCCTGTAACAGAAGGAAATGCGGTTCGGTTTTGCTTCTTTACATCAGTGATTTACAACACTGCGAAAAACTGCCCAGGCTGCTGCCAGCCAAGATGCTTTAACCTACTGAACCCCATTGGAGCAGTTTTTAAAGGTAACCTGTATTCCTATCAAGCAGTTCCCAGAGCAGAGCAGCATCTGTGAGGGTTTGCTTTTTGTCTTAGAGTCATCCCTATGACAGACAGCTGATGCAATTTTGGCTTGATACATGGTGGCTGCGTAACAGGGATTTGCTGTGTTTGCGTTGGAACAGCAGGGTTAGGAGGAAATGTAAGACCACACCAGGGAGTGTTTAGGAGGTTTCATGAAAACCGGTCTAACCCCACTGTTCAGTGCAAAGAGCGTCAGTGGAGGAAGCAGTGTCCTCTGCCAGGTGGAGGGAGGATAGTTTCACCAGGATTCACATGTTCTTTTCATGCGTGTGCCACTGATTCACATGGTGGTAGATGAACTGTTCATTTGGTACATGTCACTCTTTTACCACTTACAGAAAGTGACAGTGATACTTCCTGCACGTTTTGTAGTGTCAAGTTTTATTCAGATAATTATAGGTGAAAAAAAATCTCTCACAGACCACCAAGTGTCTTGTCTGCTCTGAGTGCTGCACAAACTCATTTTGGCATTGGAGTAATGAATCTGAATGGAGGCAAATGAGCTAAACGGCAAAGAGCACATCTCTCTTCCCCACTGTGCCCGGCATCTCACAGGGTGCCATGAAAATGGACAAGGGCTGCTTTAAATCTCTCTAGACTTGTCCTTCCTCAAAATTCACTTTAACTCTTCCAGAGGAAGCATAACTGAGAATCACTGGAGCCTCGTACAGTGCCTCTGGCAGTGCTCGCCTCCTGGCCCGCCCTTGTCAGACTCCTCATGAACACGATTGCTGGAGAAGGAACTATGCAACTTATTTTCTGCCTTCTAACACCAGGGGAAGTCACGCATAGTCACCTGCCTTTGGCAATGGCCCATCGCAATCTGCTGGCCACCATCGTGAGCTGGATGCTCTGTAGGTATCTGATAGATGACTGTTTGTAAAATATACTATGGATCGTCTGCTTCTGTATGGAGCTAGGCACAAAATGTTTTGAATGCTTAAACATTTGCAAAGCAAGCAATATGTTTCAGCAGCCTAGGGTTACTGCAAATATTTAGCATCTTGACAACCCACAAAGCTACTTGGAAATCTTTTGTGCATATGGTAAGCTGAGGTTTAGGCACTTAATATTAGCGACTCAGGAAGACTATTGTATTCAGATAAATTCAGCAGTGAACCATTGAATGTTTACTGCAAACCAGAATTTCTAAAGATGATTTTCAGTGACAGATTTGTGATGTGCATATACATGGTGTAGAAGCAGCTGTCCAAAGTGAATGGGGAGCCCTATCAAAATCCCTGTATTATCCTCTGTGGAAAGGAATTTAGCTTCCAGTGATATTTAAGTGTATTGTTGGAGGATATTCTCAGTGTAATATTTGTTAAGTAGAACATAGGACTTTGGCACTTTTTTGATTTGCAGAATGCGAGTCTATCCAATCCTACGCGCTCAAATTGTGAACGCTGAAGACCTCACACCAGTGTAAAGCTGCCTCTCAAGTTTGTATTATTTGTAATTTCCCCCTGCAGCTCCATAACATGATTGATCATCATTAGATCTTGACTGTAGGAGATGAAAGCTACCGTTCTTTTGAATTGTGAGCAGATCAGATGAAAAGCTAGATACTGAAATGGTAGTCCCACAGATGAATAATGCGGAGAAAAACACCAGCCAAAGAACTTTAAAGAAGTATTTCTAAATGTGCAAATGAAGGTGTTCAGGCAAAAATATTCCCTACCAAGACTATACATGCTATCAGCTATTTCACTGTTAAAATACATTATCAGTTTACTTTTATCATGATTCATCAGCATATGGACTTTCTGGGGTATGCAAACCACAGTTTCTAATTTCATTTTTTAAGTTGTTTTTAAAGGACTGTAATTTTATTCCCATACAGCAGAACCTATTGATTATTAGATTGCTTTTTTGCATGCTTTGCATTTGCAATGTTTTTAATTAAGGTTAAAAAATCTAAAAGAATAACTTCCAACATCAGGCTTTAGTTCTAAATTTACACCTACTTCTGTATCTAAAGAAAATCATCTCTCTCATAGTCAGGTTAATGTCCTCCTGAAGAGCAGATAGACAGAAGAATTCAAATTGTAGTATCATTGTTTTGCCCTCTTTAAGAACCCATGTTTAGCAGGCAATATTTTTAGCTCTACATCCACACATTTTATAACATTTTTCCTGAAGAGAATGCTGCCCATGACCTTTACTGTCATAAATAAACAGTTTTTTCTTTTTGCTTGGGTTTTTTTTTTTGAGGTTTTTAAGAAAATAAGCTTACCTCTTAAAATAGCGTTATTTATTTATTGATGTTTTCAGCTTCTGGGTTTATTACTGGGGCAGCAGTCAGTAGGGCCAGGAGTGGATACAAATTGCGAGGGTTGGCTTCCTCTCTAAGGTCTGTTGGCCCTCACTCTTGGATCTTAAATGCCAAGAAAGGGCAGAGTCCACCCAAAATAAATGCACATTTTTGGACTTCACTGATCCATGAGCAAATTAAACTTTGTTTCTTCTCTATTAGTAGATGTTTGTGCTGTCCCCTGGTTAAGACCAGACTGAACTTGTTTTCCATGTAAAATAATTACAGTAGACAGTTGCAAACGGCTCTGTAATTTTTTAATTAAATTATTGTCATTTTGCAAGCCAGCACTTTACGGTGGAGGACAGTCATCTGCTTCCTTGTGGGTGCACTGGATTGCCACAGTATTGCAGGCTGTGTTTTCCCAGGCTCCACGGGTGAACAGAAGGACCCTTCTTTGCTCGCAAAGGAACATTCTTGGTCTGTTCAAAGCTCCCACTGCAGCAGGTAGTTATTTTTGAGCCGCCACACCTAACAGATGCCATGACAAATATTTATTTGCACAAAGTAATGCATTTCCTCACTAAAACTTTGCCTTCTGCATCTTCGAAGCGTTGCAGGGCTGGTTACTTCATTCTCTCCCTGTCAGTCATGTCTCCTCTTAATCTGATGGAGGTGGAAAGTCGGAGGACCCTTTTGGGAAGGCAAAGAGCCATTAGACAGCATCTGGGAAAGTACCTGGGGTCTATGCATATCAAGTGCCCCATGAGTCTGCATGGTTGACTAACACAAGCATCAAAGTCATCTTCTCGGGCGAGGACCGATGCTCTTCTGTCACCCTCTTTCATGACACATCTTGTCGCAGGTACCGTGAAGCAAAAAGGCTGTTGTGTTAAATGTAACGTGCTGTGAGACCGCACTGGCAGCATGTCCTCGCTTCCCTATGTTTTCTTTCACATCTGCAGTATTACTTACTTAATCTAGCTTTTCTGTGGAATACTGTTTGTAATAAGTATGGAGTTTTATCTATAACACTGTTGTGCCTGCTTGACATCGCATGAAGGTTAGGTCCCAAAAATTTACATTATAGTTTGCAAAGGTTGATCTAACTTTGATTGCTCCCATTTTTGATACCAAAAGCCTGGTTTTAACACCTGTTGCATCATCTCAGCTTCTGTTGATTTTGTTTCAATTTCAGGGACACAGAAAAATCAGGCTCAGAAAAAATGGACACTCAAAATTAGAGAGCTTTTGGGGTTTTTTAAGTGTCTTGCATACATAGTTCGCTCTAGGTCTATTTCTGGTAAGGAAATAGGACTCGAGTCTTTCAACTTATGTCATCATAAGCTAATCAGCACCTAATAGTGGCTGGTTTTGATAAAGTCTTAACCTTTCTCTTTTTTTATGAGGGCCAGCAGCCAAATTCAACTTTCTATTTCGAACTGTTAATGGTAGAAAATAATTTGCAAAACTCTGTTGAGGAGAAGATTGGAAATAATACCTAAAAAGGTTAGAGGTCTTTTGTGTAAAATGGTAACACAGCTTCTTCTCCTTCTGTATTGTTTTGTTCTCCTTTGCCACAAAATATATCTGAAATAAAATGGGATCCAGAGAGGTGGAACATAATGTTATGGAGTCAAGAAGCAATTTCCATATAAGCAAATTAGAAGTAGTAAAATGTCTCAGTTTCTAAAGAAGAAGAAGCTCAACAAAAAATATGCAATCATTATATGTAGTTAATTAGCAATGTACTTGAATTTACCAAGTTTTGTGTTCATCTGACTAGCTCAACTTTAGAATAAGATTAAAGTTATTAATGGTAATTTTAGAACTTGTTATAGTGGATATTTAAAGATATAAAGATATTTAAAGCACAGCGTTAGAATTAGATTGTATCCACTAAATTAGGCGGCAAGCCACGAACATTTACTGGTACAAGTTTATTCTCCAGCACTATCCCGAATTTTTCTTTCAGTGTCTTCTCAACCTCTTCATCTGTAAGAGTTGTGATGTGCACCAGGTCCAGGTCCTCCATGTGATTATACTTCATCTCAGTGAAGGTCCATCCAACTAAGGCATAAAGCCCTTCAGTGGTCTGGAGACTGCAGATTGACTTCTTCTGGAGGATGTTATCTGGAGACACTTGTAGGTATGCGTTTAGCTCTTGAAAGTCATTTATATGTCGTGGCTTGAGAGTGAATCTATGTATTTTTCTGATATTCCCCAGTTCTGGAGTATGAGTGAAAGGGACACTTTGCTCAGAAATGTAATGCTTCCTTTTTACTTTCTCAAAGTACCAAGTGCCGTTATCTTCCATGAAGCGGAAGATGCCGGGGACCTGGAGTTGATCCTTCCCAGAAATCAACATCAATGGCTGCCATGCCTGGTAGGCACCGCCAAAACCGGCATCAATTATGTAGGAATTTCCCTCGATCACCACCTTCAGTAGGATATGATTAATCTCAGCAGTGTATGCCTTCTTGGCAGGCTCATAACTATTTCCTCCGAGAATACAGACGTCATACCCAATTTCTTGCAAGGCCCAAAATAA